ATAGGACAGAGCGATTGCAGCAATGGATTTACAAAAAGCTTTATATCTAAATTCCTTGGGCCAACCACTAGGATCAGAGAGTAGTTCTTGATTCCATTTCCCTGATTCCTCTCTTGTTCATCCTCCATGTACTTCTTTACAATGAACTTGCTGTATAGCCAATTTTTCAAGTCTTTAGGGTAATAAACTTTGTTGTCTACATTAGAATTTTCCTCAGGACAGGTGAGGTTGTTAAGTGGAAAGGAAGTCAATTGAGGGTAGAGTTGGGAAGCTACTAGCTCTAATCTCATGTCCATATGTCTATAGGAGTCACTTATGCCTAAGTTTGGTTTTATGTGCTGAGCATGACGGCATGAAATCTTCGAACTGTTTTTTTGGTCGGTCGAGAATCATTTCTTCTGTTATGTTCTAGAACTATTTGGAAAAATTAAGAATTGGTGTTTTGAAGTGGAAATGAAAATTTGGATAGGTAACAAAAATGTGGATTCAAACTAGGACAGGATTATATTATTTTCCACAATGTAGTTAAACTTGTGATGGGGATTTACAGGAAAAGATGAACCTATTTTATTTGTTCTTGAATATTGAATACTGCAGCTCACATAGCAGGCCACAAAAATTTGGCCGTTCTTTGGTATCTCTCTAGCTTACTTCACTAATACTTGCTCACTTACATGTCAGTCTCGAAATGATGTAACGAATGGTTTTGCTAAAAAAGACACTTGATTACTATAGGCTGTTAACTTTTTCAGAAACAATTTATACATGCCTGCCCAAAATTGTGTTTCTGAATAGTTTACTACTTCTGACTGTCATGATGATGGTCATTGAGCTAGATGTTTTTAGAGGGTTTCTAACATGCTAAGCTATGAGAATGATATGGTATTGAGTTCACCCATTTCACATATTAGAGGAGGTTGCTCTCAAATGTTTCTTGAAAAATAAAATGACCCATTCCTGATTTCTATTGATTACCTAGGACATATTCTTGGATTTGGGCCCAAGTTCCACCATGCATTTTCATGCTTTTAACTTGCAATTTGCAAATCTTGTAAAGCCGAGGTTAGGTAATGAATTTATTGCAATAACTATTGAAAGTAGAAGAGAAAACATGTGGTAAAGAGACTTCAAGTTACAATGTTCAGAGAGTAATGGGATGCAGAAAGCATGTTTGAGTACTGGTTTAGCCTCTTGCATTATGATATCTGCTATGCTTCCAGCTTTGAAAGGTATTCCCATTTTCAAGTCAATGGTACTTATCCTTCTTCAGAGATTTTACAAGCCAACTTTTTTTTTTTCAGTTCATGAAGAACCAATATACTCATTTTACCTTGTCAAGATTGGGGGAAAACTTACATCCATCTGTAATGCATTTTGAATAGTTTGGTGATCAAATATTATGCGTAATTTGTTCTATAAGTAACACTGCAATTAATTTGCATATGACCAACTTGATAGATTAAGTTGTTGAAAGCATCAGTTTTTTCGTAAGTATAATTAGTTTGTGCTTTTCTTTTTCTCTTTCTTTTTTATTTAAAATTCTCTAATTCTTCTTTTTAACTAAAATGATAATTTCATAATTAAACATCACCAAAATGAAGTTATTACTCAAAATCAGACAGTATTCAAGGAAGTTATTTTGGACATCAAAAGAAATCAATCATAGCAGAGGATAACAAAATAAATTCACATTACAGGAGTAAACAAAATGAAGCCTCGTTTTATAAGTGAACATGTCTTTTTTTTTTTTTTTAATTGTTTTTTGGTAAGTGGGAGGTCTTGAACCAGGAGCTCCTACTTACAATTGCTCCCATTTTATCAACCAACCCAACTGTCCCCCTCTATAAGTGAACATGTCTAGAGACAGAGAACTTGGAAATGGCTAGGTCTCTAGAATGTAATCTTCCCAAATAGACGAGGCTGCCTTGTCTATTGAGATTTATTTTTATGAATTAATTAGAGTGAGCTTTACAGTTAGATCTCTATAAACAATCTTTTAGATAGCTGCTTAGAATTGTCATGATGAGCCTGAGTTTGTGTATATCTAATACATATCAGAGAAGGTAGTTTAAATTTGATACCCTCAATGCAACCTTTTACGTTTTGGTGTTGACCCAATGTTGTTGGATTCTAAATAGCTGTGGATGCTGAAGACTGGTTTTAGCATGCCTGGATGCAAAGGTATAAAATCGAAGGATTGCTTTAGCTGTCATTGTTTTGGTGTAGAAGGCAGGGTGGGAACACAGAAGTTCAAAGGCTTGAGAATGTGCTGAACCTAGCTGCCTCGGAAATGAGCGCTTGGCAAAACCACCATCACAGTGAAGCATTGGTGTTTTGTTGCAGATGTCTTCTCTTAGAATATGGAGACAAGTATTACATGTATAAAATCTAGCATGAACTTTTCACCATCTGACTGTACAGTATCCCTCTTCCACATGTAGCATTCACTCTCTGTAAATAATACTGTTACCTATTAAGAAAAACTCGGAATCTGATAATTGAGCACTCGAGTGATAGGTCACTTGTGGAAATTGAAGTTTAATCAAGATGTGCATGTAGATCAAATCTTGAAAAATGTACTTTTCTTTCCCATTAAGAGTTGTCTCTTAGGTTTCCTCTTTTCTTTTGCATAATAAGGCTTTTTTTTTTTGTGTGGCTAAAAATAAAATCCAGGTTTATCATTGTAAGTAGTACAATTTGTACAATCTCCTCTGGCTCCTGTTTTTATCTTCACCCTAAAAACTTATGCAGCACTTTCTGCTGGGGGACAAGTTCCATTGAATTCCTCCTGATTTGCTCTCTTTACTATTGCTGTAACTCTAAGCTGGTCTTCATTTTGGGAAAACTGGTTTCTCTTGTGTGGAGAACTCACATGACGAACAGCTATAGACATGTTCAAGGTGACTCTAGATTTGCGAAACACTTACCTCGGATTGCTGTCACTTCATGTTTCTTTCCGTGGGCTTGGTTCTTGTATGAATTGAAAGTATAGGCTATAGCTCTGTCCTGTCATAACTTATATGGGCTACACCTAAATTCAGGTTCTTAGTGAAATACTTCAAGTAATTTTCAGGTTCTTGGGCTCTTGGTCACCAAGACGTCTTTAAATCTTGGTAGAGGTGGGAGGTCAAGGGTTTGATCCTTGCCTCCTATCAGCCACTATTTGTGGCTTCTCCCTCCCTCTTCCTGTAGATTAGGTTAGAATGGATTATACAAACAGTTATCGTTGTTGGCAAAAAAAAAAAAAAAGTAATTTTTAGGTTCTTAATGCAATCATTTTTTCTAAAAAATTAAATGATACCCGTTGGTTCGATCCTATCTCGGCGAGTACCCTATAATCGGGTTTCCGTTGATATGCAGGGCAGATAAGAATCAAAAAATGGTTGATCCGTAAAATATGAGTCAGATCAGTCAAATGATGGACGGGCCGAGTACGGCCCGCTCCCATTCCTGCTACCTAAGTAGCTGCCATAAAAGACAGTACTTGGATTGCATAGTTTTGAAATAAAATAATTTACTTTACAAATTTCGATTACCTTTTTATCTTTTCAATCACATTTTTATTTCATATATATCACATCACAAAAAGTGTTACAGTAATTATCTCAAATAAATCATCCAAATAAACTCCTATCCAAACAAACTGTATAATCCTGTGGATTCTAATAAGTAGTAGCCCTCTCCAGAAAGGACCAAAAGAGTAACCACAGAGGGCCCTCTTACTGAAGAGGGATACATGAGCATATTTGGGCTTTAACTGAACCAAAAGCGTTTTCGCATACTGCGTAGTTTTCTAGGCATTCACTACATACTAGATAATGCTGCGGTGTTACCCATACCCCAGTTTTGTACTTTCATCATGAATGGTCTTTTACAAGTGGAGCAACTTCAAATTCTTCTTCCCTTCCCTGCTCGGCTTGCCCTGTGGGGGTTCTTTCCCACATCGATAATAGGGGGTTTGGGAATGGGTAGGTAAGTCTCTTGGACGCCTTCAAAAGTTACCGGCTTTTGAAGGTTGCTCAGAAATCTAGGTTTATCTTGCCGAATTTTTGAGTTTCTTCAAGAAAATGTCAGAAAAAAAGGTCACAACTATTTGCAATGGAACAAACTGAAGGTTCAGGAGAGAAAAAAATGTGAACCACTGAAGTTCTAATGATCCTTAAAAAGATCATAAAGTTCTTCTTGAATGTGTGTCGTCTAATTGGCTTACACAATAAGGTTTATGAACAGAAAGGATAGCTGGTTCTTGGATTTTTCAACAATCACTAATTTTCCAAGAACATGGCAAAAAAAAAAAAAAAGAATAGTATGACCACAGAGTTTTTGTTTATTTATTTATTTTTTTATTTGACTGAGTCAGATTTTATTAGTAACTAAAATGAAATACTACCAAGTATAAGTGGCATACCCCCGGCACCGACAAGAAACGAGAAGGCAAAATTGCATCACTGATAGACTTATCAACGAAAGACCCCATACAAGTCTAGGACAAACTTATCAACAAACCTAGGAAAGTCAAAATGGATTAATTAATGGATCATTTGATGAGGGTTCATATTAAATGTTTGGCGGATAATATTAACCCAACCCACTTTAGATTCATTAAGCTCTCACTTAATTTTCCCAAAATCATTCTCTTACTACTACTAGGTGAATAGATAATTGAGATCTTTACTTGTAAAACTCGTTTTTTTTTTTTAAATTTTTTGAATTCTTTTTTTTTTTAGCACCAAAAAAAGAAAGAGTTAAAAAAAAAAACAAAAATAAAACGGGTTTTACAGGATGTGAATGGCTAGACCTTCCACCAGCATTAAAATCACCTCCGGAAAAAGAATGCTCATATCGTTTGATAACCACGAGGAGTCATAGCTGAGTTGGAAACTTCCTTTTCAGTACAAATGAATGTATATGGATCCACATTGATTGTAAAACCACCATTTTAATGGGTTAAGTTGGATAAACCATTTAGATCCAAGATACATTTTTTTTTTCTCATCCAAATCCATTAAAAGTGGATGGATCAGGATGGATATATGGTTTTGGATTAAAATTGCCCCCAAGGAGTTATTTTTCTTGGAAGATTAACATGCCAGTGATATCAGGTACGTGGCTCATAATTGGAAGCTTATATCTGCCCGCTAGTTCTGGATGATGATGGAGCAAATTGGCAGGATGAGCGCTTAGGTCCATTGATAACTTCTATGTGCAAGTAGCAGCAAGCTAGTCAGATACAACATGGTATTACGAACTTCCTGTCCTTTCTTGTCCAAACGATAGCTGCCTTACTTATTATGATGCTGCATAACAACGAAAGAAAATGATTTTTGCAACAGTCCATCAAATTTTGTTCATCTGCAGTCTCATTCTCTTTGGTAGATGGATATTCCTGCAATCCATGTGGAATGCAGAAGCTTTTAAGAGATCTAGTTTCCAGCTGGGAGTGATGTTGACTGCCGGAGAAAAATCTCACGGGCCTAAGAGTGCGGGTGAGTGCCCTGCTAGAATGCGACTGTAGGGTCATTTTCCCGTTAGTTTCTAGGTGATTTTCTATCGTCAGTGCCCGGTTAATTTTTTTTTTTTTTTTTCACATTTTTCAGTTTGTTATAACTGAGTTCCAACATGCCATGCCCGGGACATGGCCAGTGAAAGATATTTCTTTACCTGTCTATTCTTCTTGCCTTTATTGAGAAAAAGCAGTGCATTGAGTGCATTTGCAAAAGCAAAGTTTAGGAAAGGATTTTGGAAAAGGGAGAGACAAAAGATACCTTACCTTAAAGCAAAAGAGGGATAAAATTTACTGCTGTTGTAATTTCTCGTGTAGAAGTAGCTGATTGTAGGATATGTTTGGGATTTTGCTGTCCTCCTTTTACCTCTTAACAGGCTTTAGGGAGTGATCTTGTCTATCTATAGCTAGGTGCCATTTTTTTCCCTTTGTTTTCTTGAGTTGATTTTGTAACAATCATCGAAAGCAAGAGTATAGAACTAGCTATCGTGAACCTATATGCTAAACTAAAGTTTCATTTGTAAACAGACTATTGCACATTCTACAACCAATTGTTCACTTGTGTTGAATGCTACATGAAAATTTAGAACTCACCCTTTCCTCTTCTTTGCTCCTGTCATCCATATAAAAGAAAATGACAAAGTAAAAGAGGATATTTTGAAAGCCTAAAAGAGGACTGGTTTTTGAGTGAAGCTTTTCCAAAACTAAAAACTGGCTTGGCAAAGCTGAAATTGATGTACCATATAGAGACTGCCTCAAATATGACACTGACATATACGGATGAAGTTAGAAGTTGATTGGCATCCTTAAACTGATTGGTATGGGCTTTAAAAAGGACGTTGTGGCTCATGAAGAAGACCAAATATATTGAATCCCAACTGAAAACCTTTATTTACTTTTTAGCTTATAATAGGCTTTTATTTCAAGTTTGAAAAGGAAATAGAAACTAAAGAATGCTCACTGGAACTGGCCCCTCGTGCATTAAAAACGTTATGCTGATGTTTATCATGTTAACAAACTCGTACTAGTTGTCATGTCGGTTTAATAGTTTGCATTACCCTTTAGGTTGTATGATTAAGGGATTTCTACTCTTTAGGGTGTTTAATGATTGGAGGAAAACAACGGGAAAATGAATTTTGAGATCGAGTTGGAAATTATCAAACGGATGTCTCAGGATACAGACAATCAAATTGCTGGACAAGACTAGACAGGCACCAACAACTAATAGTTTTCCTAATCTTGGTGATAAACGTTGCTCATTAATGTCAATCAATAATTATCTCCACACGCGGGCAGTAACTGCATACTTTATCATTGATTCAACAATCGTTGAAAAAGCTAAAGATTTTTTTTTTTTCTTGTGTTTCTTTTACATGTATTATCAACTGAAGTAAAGTTGCTAAGGCGCAATCCCATTATACCCAAGTACTTAGGTATCACGGATGTTCCAAGCAATCATGAAGAACTTGCTAGTCCTTCCTGATCGATCCCAAGTAAGTCGAGGCCATGAATCTCCAAAAAGCTAATTTTTTTTTTCTTTTCGGCAAAATGGGGCTTACTTGATTGGATATACCAGAGTTAATTCTGCATAATATCAAGCCTTTTCAATAAAAAAGAAATGATTTGTTGTTTTCTCCTCCTTTTCTCACCATCTGTTTTTGGCATTCGCAATTTCTCTAGGAGCAGAGTAGGTCCTTGCCAACAATAATCGAAGACAGCGCGGTATGGGAATATGATTGGCAGATTTCTACATCACAGTAGCAGCAGTACTGCATGCATCGATGCAACCGTGCGCTAGATACAATCACTTGTATGCCATGTCTAACCAGATTTGGCACAATAATTATTTCTCTATCAAAGTATGGAGATATGTATCTCAGTTTGATCAAGCAAAATGGGAAACATGATAAATTTTTTCTTTTCAAACGAACCAAAATGAATGGGCTTAAATGGTTCATGAAGATTTTCTAAAGTTTGAGTTGGATATGCCTGTCCTCATGGATTGCCTACACTTTTTACCATAACTGGGGACTGAAATAAGGAAAAAAAAAAATCCACCGTGAGAATAGAGATCAAGTAAAATCACGTTTCCAAACTCTAAAAGCGCTAACAATGGCAGAAAATCGATGCTTTAGCAACAAATACTTCTCTCTATCTAATATATGTTTAAGAATTTTAGTAGCATCAAGACACGGTAATATTAAAAGTTAAGGACAAGTATAAGGATATTGCGTGAGTTTCTGAAACATAGGATCGAGGTAAAGATGTCTAAAATTTAGGAAGATAAAAATAGCCATAGGTTTGAAAGAATAGTCAATAAGGATAGTCTCCAACTTTAGTCATAGTGTCTCTATAACTTCCCATTTTTCATTTGTTTTAAGGGTAAATTTCACTTTGCACCTTTCTATAGACCTGAATTTTCACTTTGAATCCCAATTTTGATACTGAAATGCTTTACTCCCTCGAATATAAAATATGTTCTACTTAAATAAAATCTGTCCCATTTTAGTTTTTAAAGTATAAATTTTTTTTCCACTAAAGTATACAATTTGTCACACTTTAGAGACTAAAGTATAAAAAAAATTGATATTTTAAGAATTAAGGTGGAATAGATTTTATTTAAGTAAGATAGACTTTAGAGACTACAGTGTCCAGTTTAAAGTTGAGAGATCAAAGTAAAAGTCTAAATATCATTGAAAGATGCAAAGTTGTTAGCACAAAAAATCGTGCAGCGAAATTAACATTAAAATCTTACAATAATAAACAATAAAAAAGGCACGCGAGGAAGAAAAATATTCTGCTTCAATTCATTAATTTCCTCGAACTACAAACCTAGGACTGCAAGTGCTTAAATAAAGAAATATAACCACAAATTCTATTCTAATGATAATACTAAAATATGACAACTCTGTTTCTCAAACCAAATATGACTTAACTCTATAGCAGTATAGCTCACACGTAACTCTAATTTAATTGTTATCTCCAACTTCACCGATAGGAGTAGGACATGCTTGTACTTTGCATATAATTCGACAGCCAATTCGCTTGATCAAAAAATTCATCCATATTGACCCATTCACTATTAGAGTCTCCATATTTTCTTGAATAATAATAATTCACACTATTTTCAACCAATAAATCATGGCTTCCATAATATTCTTTATGGCAATAATTTTCGCCGTAAAAATTTTCAATAGACTCAATCACCTCAAAAATATTGTCATGCACATCTTCATTCAAATCAAAACTTTCACTAACAATTTCTTTTTGCTCTTCGTCTACAACCAAATTAATGCATTCACTAACAAATTCTTCTTCATCAATCACCCAAACAAAGTATGCAAATCATAATTTTCAATCATATAAAAAATGTCGAAAATCTCTTTGTCATCAACAAACACATCCTCTTCTAAATTAACTGCCCATTTCAAACCAATTTTTGACTTATGATTAGATTCATATGGAAATTCTATCACCAAAATATAAAAGAGATCTGACTAAAACTATTGAAATGATTCAGAAGAGATGATAAGTCTTTTGTAATACTCTTCAACCATTGATTTTCGCATTATTTTGAAAAATAATTTGGCCTTCCTTCTCTTAATTTCTTTTGATGGACTACTATTTAAATTGATCTCAAGAAATTCACCCAAACAACACCTTTTAAGATATTTGTGTACTCCCTCCGTCCCGTTTTGTTAGTCTTGATTTTTTTTCACACAGATTAAGAAAGTGTAATTAATTTGGTTGGAAACATAAATTTAGATTAGTAATTTCCTAAAATACCCTTATGCTAATCACGAAGAGTGCCAATTAATATCAGTTACAGCTAATGGGTTAGTATTGGAAAAGTTCAATGTATTCAATGTAGTGGGTTAGTATTTAATAACAATGTATTAATAACAAGATATTTAATAAGGGTATTTTAGACAATTTGAAAGATTACTACATTTCTTAATGGGAAAGTGGACTACAATTTGGGACAGACGAAAAAGGAAAACAAGACTATCAAAGTGGGACGGAGGGAGTATTATTCTTGACCATTCAGATCTTTCTTTATCACTGCTAAGTGTGCATAAAATTTAAAATTTTTCATCATTGGTAAATTCTCTCTCCATAACAATTCAAAACAATTTACTTACCTTCACAAATATTTTTTTTCCTTGCTTGAATTTCTTAGCCTCTCTAGCTTTAGATTTGATCAAAGACCACTGTGATAACCAACAATTTGATAGGATTTTTTTTTTCTGATTACTACACAATACCAACAATGTCAACAGAGTCCTCTTTTTAGACCTCTGTCCAATTAGATTCACTTTTCCCCAATTCCAATCAATGAATGAGTACACTAAGACTAACTCTTGTGGTTGAATTTTTTTAATATACAAGTACTCTACCACAATTTTTGTACCCTTGTATGGCACAAATTTCTCCATCAAAAACTTTGCACACCCTTCAGACACCATAGATACCCCAAGATCAAACTCTTAAAATTAGGATTCTGATACCACTTGTTAGTACAAAAAATCACGCAGCGGAAGTAATATTAGAATCTTACAAATAATAAACAATAAGAAAAGCACATGAGGTAATGAAATATTTTGGTTCAATTCATTAATTTTTCTCAACTACAAACCTAGGACTCCAAGTGCTTAAATAGAGAAACATTACCACAAATCCTATTTTAATTATAATACCAAAATATAACTCAACTCTGCTTTCTAAACCAACTATAATACCAAATTTAATATACTTACCAAATAACAAATCAATTTTTAAAACTATTAAAATTCCAAATATTCTTGGTTTAAAATATGTCAACAAAAGTGAAATTAATCCTATGTTTAATTACGATTTTACCTAACAGATAATCGAATTAGTTTTCAACGAACGGCCGAGTCATGTCAAATAAGAGGGCAAGAGAAATGAATAATTCCCCGAAGAAAGTCTCCTTTGGAACTAACATTTGAACTGAGGGTCCAACAAGTGAATTCTTACACGCCAAAAACAAACCTTTACAGCCTCTTATAAATGCTTGCCTTCCCCGTTACTTAATCAAAAGCCAAATTGTACGAAATTCAATGTACAGGAGAGCTAACTCTAAATAGTAAATGTGGAAATAAGCAGTTGATGTAGGACCTATCTATGTTACTTCAGGCAAGATGGCCCTTATTCTCTTTGTCTGTAGACTTCAACCAGCTTTTAGATCCCGGTATGGTGGCTTTTGGGATTTTGCCACAGATTTAGAGGGGGAAAAAAAAAAAGAAAACAAAATGAAGAAATATACGGGAATAAAGAAGTATTATTTGGATTATAACTTTTTTAGGAAAAATTTTTGGGAAAATGACCAGTTTCATCTCTTATATTTCACAAAATTATTCTTTTCATCCCTCACTTTTAAAACGAAACAATTTCATCCTTGACATTTAAAAATAGAAGTTATTACGTCCCTGAACCTAATTTTCAATATGAATCAAGCCATCATCAACCTAATTACAAATTTTGGGGGTATAATTGGTAGATCACTTGACTAACTCAACTTGATAGTTACGTGAAATTTAATGAATCCAAAAATAAAAAATAAAAAATTATAACATAAAAAAGAAGAATGAATCTTTCCTACATTGTCATTGTATATACTGACGGGTTTATGTACCTGCCACATCATTTCAATTTAAATTTAAACACCAAAATTTGTATTTATGATATACATATAGACTCGCAACCGTATATACTAACGGTACATGAAAAGATTTACCCAAAAAAGAAACCCTATTACTCCAAGACAAAGAATGACATTTTATATTATACTTTTTATTTTTTTTTTTTGTTTCAATAAATGTCATGTGTATATGATGGAGTTCACGGAATGATCTATCAATTCTATCTCTGATATTTATTACTGGCTAATTGCATGGCTTGATTCATATTGACAATTAGGTTTAGGGATGTAATAGGTTTAATTTTTAAATGTCAGGGACAAAATTGTTTCGTTTTAAAAGTGAATGACAAAAAGAATATTTTTGTGAAATGTAAGGAATGAAATAGATATTTTACCCAAAATTTTTATATTTTTTGTGAATATATTTTTTTTATCATTTTTTTTATCTTACATATATCAATTTATTATAATATATTTTTTATAAGAATTCTTAAAAATAGCAATCGAAACAGAACTGTGACCACAAAATTGAAGTTGGCAAAGCACTGTGCCATTCGAGCATATATAGTACGCGAATTTTGGTCTGCATGGTAGAGTAATATGTCAATGTGGAATGCTTTGCAATGGACAATAACTCCTTTTCTTTTGGAAACTAAAATGTCAAATACCAATACGAAAACTCATGATAATATTTCACTATCCCCCTATTTTATATCTTTGTGACTTCTTCAATACTTATTAAGACATTAAGGAGCCAATTTCGGAAGTTGAGATTAATGCACTTGTATTTGAGCTAATAAATAATTTTTATGGAGTGAACTCTATAGAATTCCTAAAATGGAAAAAAAAAGAAAAAGAAACAATTGACTACAAGGAGATTGTAAGAAAGAATGCAATTGATATTACATGCAATTTTTTCCCTCATTACTGTTCTCTTTCAATTTATTCTTCTCAATTTTCTTCGTTTGTCAGACTGTATACAAAATTGACCATAATATATAAAATAGAGCGGAGAAATTAATGAGTAGTGTACAGAAAAAAAAAAAGACAAAAGAGAGTCTATGTGATAATGTCATGCACTTTCCTAAATCGCAAAAGACTCGTTTATTTGCACTTTAGATATGCTTATCTTTTTACTTGCATTCTGATTGGACTTCGAACTTAGAAGTGAACCCTTCTCTCCATTAAGTTGGTTTTTATCTACTTTAGCAAGTTTTCAAAAGACTGGAGATGGTTAAAGTTCTTCGTTTTGCAGGAG